TTGCTATTGCTATTGCTATTGCTTTTAATTACATGTTATGTTATATGTCATTGTATGTATCCCCTCCCATATAAGTTGTTAGCCGCCCTGAGTCCCCTCAGGGAAAAGGGCGGCCTATAAATAAACTTATTCTAAATTCTAAATTCTACCCCTTGTGATGCCAATTCTAGTCTAGTTTTTATTTCCCACTGTCTGTTCAATAACTCTTTGTATGTGACAATTTTTTTCATGTTGATTAAATTTGGGTGTATGTATTCTTCCTTTGTGGATAGCCAAATGAGTAGTTCAATATAATGGTCATGTTTAATTTTATTCCATACTAATAACAGGAACTGTCTGATATAGTGTATATTGAAATATTTATGTGCAGATCCTTTTTCATACCATAGGAAGGCATGCCATCCTGCTTGGAGGTCATGTCCTTCCAATTTGAGTAATCTTTTGTTTCTCAACATTATCCATTCTTTTATAAATCTTAGAATGGCTGCAGTATAGTAAAGGTCCCAGTCTGGAATGCCAAATCCTCCTTTTTCCTTGGTATCTTGCAGAGCTTTGAGTTTTATTCTTGTTTTTTTCCCCCTGCCATATAAATTTAAAGACCAATTGATGGCCCTCTGGAACGAGCTCCCTGTTGAGATCCGGATCCTTACTACCCTCCCGGCCTTCCGCAAAGCCACCAAGTCCTGGCTGTTCCAGCCGGCTGGGGGGAGCTGAGAAGCATCTACCTCCATAGAAATTGTGAATGTTGGTTTTGTTTTTAATATGTTGTCTTTGTCTTGTTCCCCCCTTTCCCTTGTCTTTTGTGAGCCGCCCGGAGTCCTCCGGGAGTGGGCGGCATACAAGACAGACAAATAAATAAATAAATAAATGAATAAATAAATGAATGAATGAATGAATGAATGAATGAATGAATGAATGAATGAATGAATGAATAAATAAATAAATAAATAAATAAATTCAAAATCTTAAAAAACCTTTTTCTAATTTAATGGCAATGTTCTGAAACAGAAAAAGAAATGTTGGTAGTACAGTACATTCAGCTTTATGACTGCAATCCTACCCATCAGGGACAATTGTAGATTTTTCCACCTAAGTCTCTCTCAGTTTTATTGATTAAATTAATATAATTGTCTTCTTTGATGGACACACACTTCACAGTTAAATGTATATCTAGATATTTGTTGTTTCGTTATGTGGACCTCTTGCAATGCAATTATATCATAATTTAGATGTTTTAATTTATTAAAGGTTGTTTTCCTTATCTGGGGCGAATTTAAACCATTGATATTCAGTGATAGGATCTTGACTTCTCCCAACATGATTCTATGTGTATTTAGGTCATGAGCTTCTTGTTGCCCTGATCTCTCTCGCTTCTTTTGGTTCTTCCTCTTTTCTCTTAAATCAGCTTCTTTCTCCTTTTTGTCTCTGATTGCTCCTTTTCTCTTATCTGTGCCTTGAGTCCTTGCATCCTTGCCTCCAACAGTTCTCCTTCCTCATCCTCCTGACCAACGAGTTGATTGTAAATTCTTCCGCTTGTTCCACCATGTCTATTCTGAATCTTTTATCTCTCCAAGTTACCAGTATGCCCTCTGGCATCAATCATCTGAAGTTAATTACATATTTATTCAGCACTGATGTTAAAAATTGATAGGGCCTTCTTAATTCTTTAATTATTCTCGGTACCTGTTTTAGGACTGTTAGTAGTTGTTGACTGTCTACTATCGGGTCGTCTCTTGTTCTATTCAGCACCTCATTGTGTATTGATTTTTAACAAACTTTACATGAACTTCCATCAGGAGATTATTCTTTTTTGGGTAGTTTGTCTGGATTCTATATGTCTCGTTGATCTTGCTTGCCATCTCATCATTTTCTATTCCCAAAGTCTTTGTCATGAGATCTGCCATCATATCCGGTAGGTCCTCACCTTTTTCTTCTTTTACTTACTGAAACCGTAGAAATTGGGATGTTTTCTCAGATTCTAACGTAAGGACCATTAGCTCAATGGAACAACCTGGAACAACCTAGAGCTCAACTCCTCCATTCTTTTCTCTTCCTTCTCCATCCTTTCTTCTATTGCATTTATTCTTTGTTCATTTTTATTGATCTGTTCCTGAAACCTTTCGAATTTATCATCCATATTCTGCATTTTTTCCTTTAATTCTCCAGTGTCATTTCTTATTTCTCCAATATCCTTTATCAACTCATGATTTCTAGCCATCGTTTCTTGCAGAGCCTGTATTATCGTCTGAAGATCCAGAATTGAATTAGATCTTTCTCTCTGGAGCATGTCCTCAGAGGATCTCTGGTTGGAGGGGCTGGAACCCAGGGCCAACTGCACCGGCATATGGTCTCACAAGGGGTCTGAGGATCCCATCTCAGTACCTAATAGCAGTCAAGCTACCTCTGGAGAGCACATGGAGGACTGTGCGGCCCCCTAAAGAAATGCCACCCCACACCACTACTGACCCACTGCCAAACCAGTCATGCTGGAGGATGTTGCAGGCAGCAGAACGTTCTCCAAGTCACGTCTGTCACATGTGCTCAGTTTGAACCTGCTTTCATCTGTGAAGAGCCAGTGGCAAATTTGCCAATCTTGGTGTTCTCTGGCAAATGCAAAACGTCCTGCATGGTGTTGGGCTGTAAGCACAACCCCCACTTGTGGACGCCGGGCCCCCATACCACTCTCATGGAATCTGTTTATGACTATTGAGCAGCCACATGCACATTTGTGGCCCGCTGGAGGTCATTTTGCAGGGCTGTGGCAGTGCTCCTCCTGTCCCTCCTTGCACAAAGGCGGAGGTAGCTGTGCTGATCCTGGATTGTTGCCCTCCTAAGACCTCTTCCACATCTCCTGATGTACTGGCCTGTCTCCTGGTAGCTCCTCCATGCTCTGGACACTACGCTGACAGACACAGCAAACCTTCTTGCCATAGCTCGCATTGATCTGCCATCCTATCCAGGATCCATCCTGGATAGCTGCACTACCTGAGCCACTTGTGTGGGTTGTAGACTCCGTCTCATGCTACCACTAGAGTGAAAGCATCACCAGCATTCAAAAGTGACCAAACCATCAGCCAGAAAGCATAGGAACTGAGAAGTGGTCTGTAGTCACCACCTGCAGATCCACTCCTTTATTGGGGATGTCTTGCTAATTGCCTATGCTTTCCACCTGTCGTCTATTCCATGTGCACAACAGCATGTGAAATTGATTGTCAATCAGTGATGCTACCTAAGTGGCCAGTTTGATTTCACAGAAGTATGATTGACTTAGCGTTACACTGTGTTGTTTAAGTGTTCCCTTTATTTGTTTGAGCAGTGTATGTGTGTGTATAATATCAAGAACAGTAGAATTAATATTCTTATGACAATAACAATATATTTCTTTGATAGTAGTATTATAACATTAATTCCTAATCCTTAAATTCAACCTTACATATGCCCCTCCTATATTAGTTATATGAATATTCTGAATCCCCTTAGTGTTCTTTCTCGCTCTCCAAAGTCGTTTCTTTTAATAATGTCCAAAAGTTGTTATCAATGTCCTCCAATAGCCAGGTCTCTGCTATCCAAGGGGTATAGTCACCAAAGATTCTGCTTTCTCTTGAAATATGTTTCTTCTTCAGACCGTGTATAATTTACCTATTTTCTCCTAGGTGCTTCAATATTATCAAGGTTGTTCAAAGCCAGCCCTTGTTATGATGACTAAGTTTAAATTCGGCTTCCCAGTCAGTTCAGAGAAGGCGGGGGGGGGGGATTTCCTGTCTCCACTTTGACTATTCGATCTTCTTGCTTGCTTACTGGCATCCAACTTCGCGCAGCACTTTCCTCTCGCCGCTGCAGTGGGGGAGATAGAAGGGAAAAATCCACCCCCAGTCCTAGCTGCAAGCCCCTCAACCCCCTGGGCTATTTTGGAATAAAATACCTTTCACCAACATCAGGAATCAAATAAGCCACTCGCGACTCTGCCACTTCCTCTGCTTGATCCCAGCTTACTCCGACCAGCTGTCAGCACTCTGGGACAGCCATTGCAGATCACTCTCTTCCGCATCCGGACTTATGAAGGAGATTTCAAGCCCAGACCATGAACCACCATCCTATGGTCGTACAAAACCACTCTTCTTCTTCGGTTTTCCCTACAGGAAACCTCTGGCTTGCAAAAATTTTGCAAAACAAACTTCCCAGATACCAAGCCATTCATGCTGGCAGTTAACCCCACCTCCTCCTTTTCCCTTTTTTAATTGCATTCACCTAGAGAGATTGATTATTGTAATGCAAAAACATGAAGCTTTTTTCATTTTCAGATCATGCTATTTCATTAAGATTCAGTGCTATAGTTATTGCTATTTTTTAAAAGGTCTGTTTTAATTTCAATACATGGATGAACTATGTGGAAGAAAAAATAACCAGTAGTTTCAGGATGGAGTTAATAACAAAAATGGGCCTTTAATGAGTTAAAATATCCCTTAAACATTCAGTGAAAACATGAAAGTGAATATATTTGTACTTACGATTTACAAAAAGTAAAAAGATGCACTTCTTCATAGAATAATTTGCATTCGTTACCAAACCTTTCATTTTAAAAGCCAATGTTGCATCTTCACAGCCCACTTCAATCAATTCTCTAAAGATATTCAAATAAAAATATAGTCCTTTTACTTTTTAAATAAAACTTTAACACACTAAAACTATTGTAATTAATAATTATTAAATATGCAACACATATTCTGCTCATGATTCCACTATTTTCTAATCTTTAATCCCAGATAAAGCCAGATTACATCTTCTATATCTTTAATATTACTATTACTAACCAGTAATTAACAGTTTTAGATACAACAGTAAATAATATCACTGTAGAAATTAGTCAAAGTTCCTTATTCACAAAATAAAACTAATTTCAGTAAATACATCCTCTTATAGTTATTTTCATATCTCCATAGAAGTACATAGAGTAATTTTTTCATAATATACAATTTTAGGGAAACACCTTAAATTGTTTTTAGAAGCACATGGTAGCCCATTTAAACTATTATCAGACAATCATGAACCAGCTTTTCATAAGCTTCAAAGTGCCCTTCCCTTTCACATTCTTTTGCATATGCAAGTACTTGTTTTAGAAGAGTCAGTTCATTTTATCAATGAAGAAAAATAACAATTACTCCAATCATGCTCAAAAAAATCAGATAACAAAAGATAATTATTATAAATCAGAGATCTCAAACTTTTCTAATCCTTTTGTGCACTATTGAAACATGTATATATATTATGATAAAATATTTGGAAGAACTGAAAAATAATGTTACCTTCAACCCATTTATTTCAAGTAACCCATTTTTTAAAAAGCCAATTCAATTGTTCGATGTGGCCCTTAAATAAACTAAACTAAAAAATTTAAAAATCAAGTATTTTACAAACTTAGGAGGCGTTGGCAAACCCCAGAACGATTGCCTGGTGATACATTTGTGCCTACAGACACTATGATTCATGTTTCTGGGTTAGATCTAAACTATACTAGTCTAACTAGTGAATATCAATACAGCAACAAAAGGAACCTTATTTGAGCCTTAACTATTATTTATCTATTTATATCTAACTTTTATTATTTTTATAAATACCTCAAGGTGATGAACATTCATAATAGTTCTTCCTCCTATTTTTCCCACAACTATCCTGTGTGGTGGGGTGGGCTAAAGAAAATATCTGGCCCAAAGTCATGCAGATCTAAAACTCAGTCTCTTGTTTACTACCTGATGCCTTAACCATTAAATCAAATTGGCTCCCTGTATATTAATATTAACAACTGTCACTTTCATTTAAAAAAGATAGTTAATATATATCCAAAAACTCTTTTCTTTCACAAATCAAAGGTCAGGAGATTTATCAAGGGAAAAATAAGGGCGGATTAAAAAAAACCTCAAATGATCAAATAGAATAAGGTTGAAGGTCTTCTAGTCCAGCCCCTTGCTCAAGCAGAACCTATACCATTTTAGATAAGTGACTGTCTAGACCCATGTTGGCGAACCTATGGCACATGTGCCACAGGTGGAACATGGAGCTATTTCTGAGAGCATGTGATGTATTGGCCTGTCAGGTCCAGCGTGTGCAGCTGATTTTAGACCTTCATTGTCACCAATTTTCACCCTCCGGAGGCTTCTCCAAAGTTCGGGAATGGACTTCCGTTTTGAGTGTTCGGCTGTTTTTCACCTTTCCCAGGCTCCTAGAAAGCCTCTGGAACCTGGGGAGGGTGAAAAACAGACCTACTGGGCCCACCAGAAGTCGGAAAACGGGTCATTTCTGGCCTCGGGGGGGGGGGGGGGGGGGGGGGGGGTGGAGGTCATTTTTGCCTTCCCCAGGCTTCTAGAAAGCCTCTGGAGCTTGGGGAGGGTAAAAAATGAACTTACCGCACCCATTGCAATTGGAAAATGGGCCTTTTTTTGCCCCTAGACGGGTGAGGGAGGGCGTTTTTGCTCTCTCTCGATTCCTAGAAAGCCTCTGGAACCTGGGAACGGCAAAAAACAGACCTGTTGGTCCAACTGGAAGTCAGAAAATGGCAGTTTCTGGCCTCTGGAGCACTTCCAGGGGGAATGGGCAGGGCGTTTTCGCCCTCTCCAGGCTCCAAGAAAGCCATGCCCGCATGCGCAGGGCAATCACATGTGCATGCGCAGGAGGCACAGCATGGGGGGCATTAACTAGGGGGCATTGACTAGCCAAACCTGAATCCTGTAGCTGTTCATGTTTTTGTCTCCAGGTCTTTAATCATCTTAGTTGCTCTTTTATGAACTTTTTCCAAAGTCTCAACATTTTTTTTGTAGTATGGTGACCAAAATTGATTGCAGTATTCCAGGTGTGGTCTTATTAGGGTTTTATAAAGTGGTTCTAGTACTTCACGTGATACAACCCAGGATTGCATTAGCTTTTTTGGTGCCTGCTGCGCACTGCTGGCTGATATTCAAGTGATCATCCTTTTGGACTCCAAAGTCCCTCTCACACACAATGGGCCCTATATATATTATAAACTGGCAGAAACACCCCAGAAATCAAGCTCAGGATCCAAAAAGATCTTGACAAACTTAAACAAGAGCCTTGTGGAACCCCACTACTTCTCTCCATGTGGATGTAGTAAGAACTACATCATTTAGTAGTTTGTCAGCCAGCTACAAATCCATCTGGTGCATTGGATTATAATCTCTTTTTGTGTGAATACTGATCCAAATAGGTTAAGCAGCTCTGCTTTCTCCCTACTGCCTGTTATTTCCTTGCCATCTTCTTTCTCTCTTTAGCAGACCTACTGTTTCCTTGATTCTTTTATTAATGTTTATTTTTAAAAAATATTTGACTTTTGTCAAGGAGGAAGAATGCTTTATATGTCAGAGGAATTCCTAGACGAATGGTGGCACATAAATTCTACTACTTAAACAATCCCAGCTAAAAATATTGAAAAGTGGCAATTTATGGAAAATACAATAGATGAGCTTTCTAAGATTTTGTTGCAAAAAGTACTGTGTATGACATCTCAGTTCCTGGAGAAATGGTGAGATATAATTCAATTTCA